CCCCTCTCCCCTCTCCCCTTTCTTTTTCTCTCTCCCCAGTGGAAAGTCAGAACCAGCAGTCAAGTTGGACTTGATGTAAACAGGAATTAGAATAAATAATGTCCGTTAGTTGCTCAGGGAGTTTTTCCTGTGGTGCTATTTAAATTATACAGAACTTAAGACATTAAGCTACTCACAGGCAAACAGAACAAAACAACCCTCCTCTTCTCTAATCCCTTGTGGGGTATAAGTTGTCAGAATCCTGGGCTGGAAGAAATATGTCAGTGATTTTTCTTGTTTTTTTCCTTCCTGCCTGGTTGTTCACTGGTTACAGAATCTGGCTTTTATGTCGTCTGACATGTTGAGGGGGATAACTAATTTCAGCCCACCTGGATGTAAATCCATGACTACCTCTTCTTGCTCAGCCCTGAAGATAACCAACCATTAAGAACATTTAACAGACTGTTGAATGTCTTTAATGTGCATTTATGTTCTTCACAATTAATTCTTCCAAAGATCTAAGACCCATAACTTCTTTCTCCAAAAAACTAGAACCATGTGGATTATAATTCATCAATTAAATTATGTGAACATGTTGAGTTCACATAATTCAATTATTTTTTATTAACAAGGATATTTTTCATGTGAAAAACAATGAACAAGGCCCAGTGATCAGAATGCACTTGGGTGGTTAAACTCTCCTAGACTTTTAGTAGTTATTGAAATCAGGGGCTGGGGACGGCTGCATGGGTAAAGTGCTCACCATGTAGACATGAAAACCTGAGGAGTTCCCATCCCCAGCACCTGCATAAAAGGCCGGGCATGGTGGTACATACCTGTGATTCCAGTGTTGGAGAGGCAGAGACAAGGACCCCTGGGACCTGCCTGTTCACCAAGTCACTGAGCTCCAGGCTTGGTGAGAGAATGTATCTCATAAAATAAGGTAGAGAACACCTGAGGAAGACCTCTGGCCTTCATCACACACATGAACATGTTTATATACATATACCACAAACAAAAAATCATTGAAATTATTATGGCATCCTTAAATGAGAACCTAAGTCAGATATAGCATTAAAAGATATACCAGTATAAGTTTATCCAGCCTGAATTCTGAAAGAACAGGATTCAACACACAATTTTATGTGAGTTCACAAACCTCTTCATTTGTCCCACTGAAGCCCCTTCCTTGAATGTAGAAGCCAAGTCCCTTCAGCTGTAAAGCAAAGTGTCCTGATTCCCGGCAAACCTCACAAACAGAGGTCATTTACTTAGGAGCCATTGACAGATAGATAGACACATTTTCACAAGAAAATCAACAATGGCTTCCCTTTGAAATTTAGATGAGGAGCTTCCAAAGGGTGGGGATCACCAACTCTGTGACCATGGCCCTTCAGCAAATAGTCGGGAATAAGTAAACTCTCAGGACTGTGGCTGGCTGGGGTGTGCTGGCCACACGTCAGCCTGCTGTTCTGGAGACTCAGCAAGCTCATTACCTTTTGTCTCTGGACAGCTTCCTCTTGTGTTTGCAGCCATGGCTTTTCTCCCTTCTCCAAAAGGTGCCCAGAGAGCTGCCCTTGAGTTATTTCACCTGTTTCTGTCTGTTTTCACGGTTCTGTTAGCAACCCATTCATCATTCCAGGTAGCCCTCACAGTCTCCATCTAAGGGTTATTTTCCCTTCTGTTTCAAAACTAGAAAATGCCAGATGATGCCAGCAGTTTATGTGTTAGGCAGCGCCATGGGTCTCTTTGGTATGTTTTGACACCTTCCGTGTTCCCAACAGTCCAGTGAGGTGGCACTCCCATTTTCAGAAGAGGAGGCTGGGGTTAGAGGGCTCACACTGTAATACTGACTAGCTGAGAAGCTGGGACTCAACCCAAGAATGGTGGCTCCCAAGCAAAACACTGTGGGCTCTTGGCTTTGGCTTCCTAGGGCAGACTCAGCCATGCTCAGTCTTCCTGGGTGATTCCTCGGTCTACCCATGGGAATGTAGCTTCTGCTTGGCTTTTGGGTGCCCTTCCCTCTTCATCAATGGCATTGTTTGGAAACTACCTCGTACCTACCTACCTAGGCAGAACTCAGTGGGGCTCATGCAATAGTTGTGAGCGTTTTCACATCTCCACTGTCTGTGTCAGGGGCCCTGTCTCCAGCAACAGCAGTTTGGGAGCTTTGTTTGTTTGTCCACAGACACATAATGAGCTTTCACTTACAGAATGAGAGTTACAACATGTTAACCGACTAGTGAGTGCCCTCTCAGATGGAACTGTTCACATAATAAAGCATGCTGATGTGATTGGCGTCTGAGCTCTTCTTCTTTGATAACATTTCTGGTTTAGGCTGACACAAATTTCAAGAACTGGTCAATGGCCCTAGACCTGTGTGTCATGGGGAAACTGAGGCACAGCTTCTTGCTGCAGTCCATGTCAGCAGAAGCCTTACTTCACCATGTTCTTCTCAAGCTGCAGTTGGCACTGTGGCTGTGCTCAAGAGGGACTTTTAATTTTCTCCTTTTTCTTTGGCAATAAACACTTGGCTGTCTCCATCTCTGGGGTTTTTAGATGATGCTCACAGTTTGAGTTGCCAAATGAATGCGGATCCTGAAAGCTTCAGGGAAGAATTCATTACCCTTTGACGGGTTCTCAGGTTTGATGGTGCTCAGTGCTTTTCCCAAAGCTCTTCTTGGCCCGGACTCTGCAAATGTTATGGCTGTTCATCTCAAGTGCCTCCAGGCAACATCTGGGGCTTAGTATGTTCACAGAATGATGTTTCCCTGGTCCTTCAAGCAGGAGCCCCTGAGCACCTTCCAATCCACCTAGTCCCTATTCCCCTTGCAGAACAGTTGCCAGATGATGAATAGCTCTGCACTGGTGAGGGAATGGGTGAAGTCATATCTGGACTGTATTCAATAACCCTTCAGCTTCAGGCCAAAGCCAGAGAGCTAAACACCCATATCCGAGTGTTAATTCAAGAGACTACCTGAAGACTTCTCGTGGAGAAGTGATGGCCCCTGGGCTTCACTGAGAACCACCTGGAATGGCCTAAGAAAGACTTGAAATGAGTTCATTTGAAATAGAGCCCTACGAGGGGCCCTGGAGACTCCACATTAGCATAATACAATCCAGAGATTGCAATGGGAACCGAATGTGAGCAGAAAAAGCTCTTGGGAGTCTCCATCAGAGCCACAGCAGAGGACTTAAAGTGTGTCCCAACTGGGAACCTGTGTAGTCCCAGCCTTGTTAGTAACACAGCTATCCGGAATAGCAATCTTTCTAAATATACACCAGGGAAAGGTAGTGAAAGGAGATACTGGCACAGAGGGTCGGAGTTTAGACAAATTATCTAAAAAAGAACTGAGCAAAGGCTAAGGTAGCCATTCCTACGGCTGCTGTTGGTAAGCTGGTGTTAAGTAACTTTACACATAGCCCTCCCTATCCCGAAGCCGACTCGAAAAGCCATTGAAGAAACTGGAAGTATAAAGAGAAACCCACCACCACCTCTACCCAAGGCACCACGATTGCCGCCGGGGATGTATCCTCAAGGGTGTGTGTATGTGTGACAAAGTGATACTTATAACATACTGTTTGGTGGCTAACTTTTTACAGAAACAATTATTGGTATATAAATCATATGCCCTGCAACTCAGCTATTTAAAGAATGCAACGATTTTAGTAAACTTCGGGAATTGTTCAACCATCCACACCATCCAGTTTTAAACATTTCCATCTTGTAACTGACTTCTTTCACTCCCTGGGCTGTGAACAGCTTTTCCAGGTGAACACAGGTCTTGTGTCTCCCGCCGTGTGGCTGGGCCTCACAGTGCCGATACTGATCCTGATGAAGGCTCCTGGTGACGCACTTGGCTCCTTTCCTGTTCCAATCTTGCAGTTTAGTCCAAATATTTTCATAAATTCCTTCAAATGGATTTGCCGAGTCAAAGAGGTACTATATTTAATTTTAAATAAGTCAAATTGCCAAATGTACAGACAGTTCTCCTCCTCCCGGTGGTACAAGGCTATATTTATTTCTTCATACCCTTGATAACACTGTGTGGCCAGTCTTTTGTTGTTCAGCAATCTGATGAAAGAAACATGTTTTCCTTTAATATAGAAGAATTTACTGAGGATCAGTATCTTTCATGTTTTATTGGCTTTTTTATCTCTTCTTTTAGGAGATAGCTGCTTTTCTTTTGAAATGTTGGTTCTTTTCCTTCAATCTTTTTTATTTACCTTTATGCCCCCAAAGTTATTAATACTTACTTTCATTTAAGTTGTAGTATTTTCTAAAATTGTTATCTTTTAACTTTATAAATTTATATACTTTGTACCTGTGGATTTGTAACTCTACCAGTAGCATAAAGCTTTTCTCTCAGCTGAAATATCTGTGTTAATAAATTCTGTATCTGGCCAGGTGATGGTGGCACACGCCTTTAATCCCAGCACTCAGGAGGCAGAGGCAGGTGGGTCTCTGTGAGTTTGAAGTCAGCCTAGTCTACAAAGCAAGTTCCAGGACAGCCAGGGCTACACAGAGAAACCCTGTCTCAGAAAAACAAAAACAAAAAAGTTCCATATCTCTAATATGCATTGATTATCAAAATTACTGTTAATATAAATATCACTAAGTGTCATGCACTTGACCGAACAGTGCAGCCTCTGCCCACCCCCCCCACCCCACCCCACCCCCCGGGGAATTCACAGTGCTCCAGCCCTTACTTTGTTTTGGAGACAGGTCTCATATCTCCCAAGCTAGCCAAAGATGACCTAGAACTGCAGATCCCCCCTGCCTCTCCCTCCCAAGCATTAGGATTATAGGTGTGCATCACCACACACAGTTCTTTGAGGTGTTGAGGATCAAGCCCAGGGCTTCATGCCTGCTAAGTAAGCACTCTACTGGCTGAGGTACATCCCCAGTCCCACTTTCCAACTTAAAACTCTTGCTTGCTTAGAACCTTACTTTTTGAACAATTCTGAGAATTCATAATAATTTGGAAATGGATATTTTAACAAGCCTAAATGACACACGGGCCAGGCATGGTGGTGCATGCTTTGAATACTAGCATTCATGAGGCAGAGGCAGGAGGATCCCTGTGAGTTTGAGGTCGGGCTTGTCTACAAAGGGAGTTCCAGACCAGCCAGGGCAACACAGAGAGTCAGTGTCTGTCTGTCTGTCTGTCCCTTCTCCTCTTCCTCCTCCTCCTTCTCTTCCCAACCCCTCTCAGTAAAAGTAGAGTTCTTTCAACAATTACTAGGCACCTGTATTCCAAGCACTGTTGATATTGGAAATGGAATGCCAAGGTGGCCCTTGCTAGCAGGGAGAGCACAGTTTATTTTAAATTGAGTTCTACCATCTGTTATTTATAAAATAATGTTATCATACTAACCTAATATTTTTTTTCTTACCAGTGTGTATTAAACTGGTAACTAACTTCTTGCTTGGTCAAACTAAGCAGCTTTGTCTCTTGTCACGTGGCTTGAGGGGGAAAACTTTCCAAAAGATAAGGGAGTCTAACCAGATCTTCAGTCTAAACTACCTTTTTTTTTTTTTTTTTTTTTTTGCTGTTGTTTGAGACAGGGTCTTTCTGAGTAGCCTGAGGCTGGGTCCAAACTCAAATCCTCCTGCCTCTGCCCCCTTCATGCTGGAATTGCAGGGCTGTATACCACATGCCTGGCTGGAAAGACCTTTTCACCTTGTCTCCTAATCTTAGTATGCAGACATTTATGTGTAATCAGCCTCATTCTAATTTTTAGAATATTTGGTAGGAAAAACAGTATTAAAAATAGAACTCTAAGATGAAAGGCTTTTTGACCTTCAAGCCATTTTCTATGGAAAAGACAAGACTTAACTCTGGTGCTGGAAGCATCTTGAAATTTACATGGCAGAAAAAGGGACAGGCCGCCAATCTCACCCGAGCCTGTCTACCTGCATCTTTCTGCGTCAATGTCCCCCAACTCCACATTCACATCCAAGAGATACAGAGGAGACCAAGGTCAATTCTTGCTTTAAAGAAGGTGGTAATTTCCTGTATTGTGATGCCAGTTGGTAAATGTGCTGGCCTGAGGGTCACCGTGCCAAGGAAGGTCAGCTTTTCAGAGAAGGGTAGGACAGGAAAATGGGAAAGTGGGGGACAGAAACAAGAGGCAGCAGAGGATTTGGCAAACAAAATGTAAGCTGTTTCCACCCTTCCTGGTAAAGTGTCCTCAATACACTACAGTTACTCAATGTCCCTGGCTGGACATTCAATCTTTATCTTCAGTAAATGATTTCATTTCACCTCAGTGTTTTCTTCCAATGTAATTCTGTAGTGGGAAGCCACGTTGTGCTTATAGTGATCTGTTGGATTCACCTGCAGCATCGCCTTTGGACGGCAGTGGCCACTAGGATTATTATATTCCATACTCCAGGTTACTGCTTTTAAAGATGAATGGATACCATCAGCTAGGCTGCTGTACATGCTGAATTCCTCTTCACCATGGGATGCCAGGCGTTTGGTTAGCAGCTGTGGCTGTTGCCTGCCACTAAGATATGAACAAACCACCCACTGCCTCTTGGATGCAACTTCATGGGACCCTGGAATGCAGGAGAATTTAGGGGTCATCTAGTTCATTCACCATACATTTCATTCATTCAGGAACTTAATCACTTCTGCCTCAGCTAAAAAAAAAGTGGGCACTCCATGTACATTCCACACACAACACCCCAAGGTTCTTTTTCTTGTACAATCAATTTTATTGAGTTGCCCAGATGGGGCTAGGGAGAAGGGAGGGGTAGGGGGTAAAGCGCTGCTTTAGTATGGGTGTTTGAAGGTGTGGTCCATGATGGTTAGAAGGGCCAGCCATGTCTCCTCAGCTGTGGGGATGATCTGGGAGGCAGGCAGCAAGAAGCCTCGGAGCCCAGTGTCCCGCAACTCAAAAGTGAAAGAATACTTGATGCCCTGGCTGTAGGTCCAGTCAACAGTGCTCCCACTGGCTTGATCTGGGGTAGGAACACAGATGAGTGTAAGGGTTGATCACTGCAAATATCGACATGGACTGAGCACCCAACGCCCAAGCCTTGTGTAGTGCCAAATAGAGTCTGTGTCTTCTGGAGGCTGCTGTTGACACACAGTGGGTTTCCAGGAAACCCCTGCTGGGTCTAAACCAGGAGACCACCAACTGCAAACGCCTGTCTGGAAATGGTCTCCACCCAACAGTCACCTCAACGACACCTCTAACTACGCCAGAGACCCACCCTTGGGTAACCAGGAGTCGATCTCCAAGGGCTCCTGGTCAAGGCAAAGCCTCTTGCCTGTCTTCCAGAGGGAAAATCTCAATGGCTTTGCAGCACACGCTGGCTGGCAAAGCTGCTTGTGCTGAACTGGGCAGTGGGGAAGGGGGGTGGGCTGCACAGTAGAATTTTACTTCGGGACACTAAATGCAGCAAACATCATCGGGCTCGGCTTAGGAACTGTTTCCAAAGAAAGCCTGGGCTCCCACCGCAGCCCACTACCCACCTAAAACCCAGGCCCACTGGACGGAGTGTGTGAAGTGGTGTGCCGCTCTCCCACCTTGGCACCTTGGCCTGCTTTTGCCTGCCAGGCAAATTTTTTGAGGCAAAATATTCCCCAAATACCCCACACCACATCACAGAGCACAGCCTTTACTCTAGAAAGCCTAGAGGCCTGTTACCTAGACAGATGGCCTCTCCTGGCTTCCCTTCATTTCCTTCAGCACTAGCCCAAATTCCTCTCTGTCTGCAAGCCTGCCCTTACCCTGGTATTCAGCCTCCACCCCAGTACTCCTGATGCCCCTGGCCTGCTCTGCTCTTCCCCTCCATCTCTCACCTAATCCACTGTGGTTTCTAAGCACACGGGCAGGCCTCCTGCCTGGATGGTGTTTGCTCCTTTTATTCACTCTCTGCTCCAAGCACACAAGTCGAGGCCTGGTGCGGCGCAGGTGCTCAGTAAACACGCGCCGACTGTATTCCGAGTGCATGTGGCAGTGACCCCCCAAGGACATCTCATGAGCCGTGTAAGGAAGGGGTGGAAAGGCGTTTCTTAAACAGAATTTTATGGTGACCTATAAATCCCATTAGAATTCCACCTCATCCGTGCAGGGATCCAGATGTAACCTCAAGATAAGAGCACAAATATGCTCAGAGGAGCCTACTGAACAGTGTCAGGAAAGACAGGGTTCATATCAGGAAAAGGCACTGTCCACCCTCTGAAGGGTTCAGCCAGCGACTCCCAGATCTGAGCACCTAAAGCAAGAAAAGCCAGCTAACGCCGGTTTCTGGGCCACCAGTAACTTACAGATTGTATCGATGATGCTGCCATACTTGTACTTGGTCCCATACAGAGATGTCAAGGCCGTCACAGCAGACTTAGCTAGCTGATCCTGGAGGAAAGATCCAGCAGAGCCACTGTCAGGGCCAGGGGAGCCCAAGTACTGTCAGGGTGGCCCAGGAGTAGGCACCAGCTAATCAGGCCCCTGGCGGAGGACATGGGGCCTGCCCTTCAGGTCAGCCCTACACTATCACAGCAGTATGATCCCTCCATCTCCACCAGATGGCTGGTCCACGTCTTCCCTCCAGTCACACCCCAGCTCCAGGTGGAGTTCACAGATTCAGGGTCTAGCCTCGCCTCTTGCTCTGTCCTGCGACAGAAGTGACTCGGCCACACTGTGCTACTGTTTCCCAGCAAACGAAGTAGGTCAACACCAATCATCCCGCCAGACGTCCCAAATCATCAGGAGACTGTGGGCACCGGGGACACTGGTAGGCTCTTAGCCCTTAATCAGCTCTGAGGGGTGAAACCCAGGTTCCTAAAAGTGGGGACACAGAAGGAGCCTGGACAAAGGGCAAGTGGGGTCATCACCCACCAGCTCTTCCTTGTCGGGGGCTGGTTCTGACGTGTAGCCGTAGGGGTAGAGAAGGAGCTGAGAGTAGCTGTGGATGGAGATGAAGGCCTTGATGTTTCCATGGCTTGTCACAAAGTCCACGATGGACTTGACCTCTACTTCAGAGTTGGCAAACTTGCCATGGTAAGTGTCTGAGCAGGGGTTGCTGCTAGCGCCGGCGACTGTGGGAAGGCAGAGGAGACAGCTAGGTCTTAGTCCAAGTGATGTGGCTTCCACAACTTCCACGGCTTCTAGTACACTTCATGGAGTCAGAACTGGGGTGCAGGGAGACCTCACCCCCTCCCCCAGCTTAAGGAACAGCCAGTCATCACATCACCTGGAGCCCTGCCTCCTTTTCTAGCCAGGTTTGGGTGGAGCAGAAACCAGTTTACACAGGGGCATGGCCAAGGAAGGCCAGAGTAAGTATTTAGACATCTCCAAGAGAAGCTCTCAGAACCAAATTCCACCTACAAGGAACTTTCTTCCTACAAACGAGGGCCCAAGTCCCTGAGTGCCACCTCCAACCCAGAAAACCCTCAGGCAGAGCCAAGAACCCACACTCTTCCTCACTGCTGGGTCCAGAAAGCGGCAGTGGAAAAGGAGGGCAAGAAGCCACGCTGTCCCATCCCTGCCCCAGAGGAAGTCTTACGGCCAAAGCCAGCGTCCCAGTTCCTGTTGGGGTCCGCCCCAACACAGAGCGAGCCCTGTGTGCGTGATCGAGTCTTGCGCCACATGCGATTCTGAGGAAGGAAAGAGGATGAGCCAGGGACCAGCACTGTCGGCTGTGACATTTGCCACAGGATAAGAGCTGCTATGGAAATGGGGATCCGGGCCGCAGCAAGGGTCTCAACCCAGGGCAATATTGGTGCCTCCAGGACATTTTACAGTGTCTGGAGGTGTTTTATGTTATGACTGACTGAGGAGTTGCTACTGGAACCTAATGGGTAGGCGAAGAGGCTATTCAGTACATGCACAGATAGTCCTCAACAACAAAGAATCATCAATCTAAGATGGCAATGGTGCCTAGGCTGAGAGACCCAATTCCATGAGGACAGGTCTGCGTGCCCCTTCCTCCACTGAGGGGGTCACTTGTGGGGCTCAAAGGTACATCCTGCTGCCCTAGGGAACAAGAGGTAGTCTGTACCGTTTTGTGCGTGTAGGCAAAACCATCAGGGTTGGTGACAATCTCCAGGAAGATGTCCATGTTGTCAAGAATGGCTGTGAAAGCCGCGTCTTGGCCGTAGTCTTCAGTGATCTGGTGGGTGAGGGAGAAGGTAGTGTGTTAACCAAACTGGCACAATGGACACATTCCCCGGCCTCCCTTTGTGGCCATTGCCTCTGGAAAGGGGAGGTCCAGCCTCCCGTGGCCTGTGCACACCAGTTCCCCAGCAAGCAAGAGCCCTCCTCATCCCCCAGCTTCACCTTTTTTGCGAACCAGACGCCGCTGGCCTGGGTGACCCATTCCCGGGAATGGATGCCAGTGTCAATCCAGATGGCTGGGCGGTTGGTCCCTCCAGTGCTGAACTGAAGAGGCAGGGAAATAGGTAAAGGGCAACTTTCCACCCGGGCCTCGGTTCATCCCCTCCACCTTGGCCAGAAGCCATCAGCTCTCTATATACCTAAAGTCGAGGGAGGCTGCTGTGGGGACTATACTTTGTGGGGTTATGGGGTCAGGGACCAGACAGGGACCCTACAGAGCTTGGATTCCTGACTTCCAGGTCCTGGCCTTATTCTGATGCTTGGATAGTGCACTGTGGGAAGCCAGCAGAAAAACATCTTATCTGGATGTCAGGACTCCACAATACTTCTCATAGTACAACTCTTGATTGGTAACACTTGGGTCATCTCAAACTTTGTATACATGCATATGGCCACCTACGCCAGTATGGAAGCTCAGACCTTCCCACATATCTGCACAGGGACTGTATAGAACAGTGCATTCCCTTATGCATCTATAAGATGTATAATCTACATCCTTACATGGAGGTCCACATGGGGGCTCATTTCTATGCATACCCTTGTCTACATGTGGGCCTCTGTTACCTTCAGTACATAAATGGGGCGACCTTCAAAAGTGTTGCCGATCTGGATCTTGCTTACAAGCTGTGGGTTCTCTGTCACCAGCAAGTCCATGAATTCATAGATCTGAGATCAGAGATCAGAAAGAAGAAAAGGAGAGAAGGAGAGACTGAATGAATTCTGGGAATCCAGACGCCTCCCTTAGCAGCCCTGTAGTGCTGGGCTGTCACAATTGACCACAGCGGCCACACAGAAACAGCATGGATTACCCACAGCCGGACCAGCCTTGCCAACCAGGAAGCAAAGTATGCTGCTCTGGACAGAATCTTCCAGGGCTGTCCTCACTCACCTCATCCAGGGTATGATAGGTGGCATAATTGAAGGTTTTGGTGGACAGGGCCCTGGCCTGGAAGGCAGACATCTGCTTCTGTTCCTCATCCAGCAGTGTCTGAATGTCTTCAATCATGATCTCATAGTTGATACCGTGAGATTCCAGGAAGACTTTGACAGACTGGATACTGGTGAAGGGCACTCGGACATCGATGGGGATTCCAGGCCGGACAGGATCTCGCCAGAAGTCCAACTAGGAAGAACAGGTGGCAGCACCATTAGAGGGGGCAGAAGCGCCAACCAGGGCAGAAAGGGGGAGAGCCAGAGAAGGGGCATTGGTACTAGAAGCCCATACAAGGCAGGAGGTGATGCAGGGGTGCTGGAGCAGGGAAAGAATGGAGGAAGCTTGGGAAATGGACAAAGTCCAGAGTGGTCAGGAAACGGCCAGAATGGAGAGGCTTTGAGGGGACGAGGCAGACAGAGGAAGTGGGGAAGGGGTCCTGGCATGCTATCAGATTCTCAAAGGCGCCAAGATCTGAATCTGGGGGGTCTAAAGTCATTTCTCAACAGCTCAGTCTCATGGCTGTTTGCGACGAGGCTGGGCCAGAGCCCAGGGACTGACCATGGGCAGCTGTGGGGACCTGAGGTGGTCCTGGGGTCCCCAGGGAGGCCTGCACTGAATCGCTAACCTGCAGATGCTCCAAATCCTCCAGCTCCTTCACTTTCTGCACCTGGGCTTCATCGGCTGCAGAGATTCGGAGAACCTGGTGCCTGGGCAGAGCAGGAAGGGCCCTGAGAACTGGAGACACCCCAACACTTCCCAGGCTGGGCCCGTAGAGGTGCAAGGGGGTCTGAGCAATGGGAGACCTGAACTTCCTCACATCTCTCTCGTGTTTGGAAGCTTCTAGACTTCCCCATCACAATTTAGACTAGTTTATCTCCAAGCCAACCAGACCTCCTCTTTCTCCTTCTAAAAATTCTTTCTCAGAGCTCAACTCTTTCAGGGCCCAGAAGAAGCTGGGCCCTTCCAAGCCCTGCCCTCCCAACCAGGCTGCTGTGCCAGGGTGGTGTCGGTTTGTCTTCTCTGGCTGTGTTTCCACCTGTCTGTCTATCCCTTCCCGACACCAACTAGAGGAGAGACCTTTCATCACCCTTTAGGACACCCCCCTCCTCTCCACACCCCTACCCCACAAAGTTCTCATTTCCAAAGACTGCCTCCAACAGCACACTCAAAATCAGCAGCTTCCACATGTTGGGAAGGTCGAGCTGAGGCCCAGGCTGAGGTCTGAGGCCTTTTAAACGCTGACAGGGGTCCCTGAGGACTGTTCCCCTCACATCTGGATCCAGTCCCACGGGGAGGGAGAGGTGAGAGTTCCAAACTGTGGCACCTTCTCGCTCTTCCTGATAAAGTGGTAGGGAACAAGGCAGGTGGAGAGATAAGCCAGGCTTCCACCCTTGACCATGACGGTCAGCTGGGCCTCGGGTCTCCCAGCTGGGATCACTCGTCCGGCTTCCCACAGCCCCAGGTACCTTGTTGTTGGTGCACTATGTCAGAAAGAAGAACAGACATATTTGTGCTTTTCCACAGTGTTAGGATTTATTGGGTAACAATAAATGCACAAGTTATATCAATTTCATTGGCTTCAATTCACCAACTATGGATTTCACTCAATATTCATGGCCATTGGCAAACACAGGTTCTTCCTGATGGCCAGTATTAACTCTGTGATCACACATTACATTCCACACAATACTAGAGCGATTCCCCCAAAGAGTTAAAGTAGTTTCTGGGTTCAGAGGGACCTTAGTAAAGGCAGGATCGGATGCAGGTGGTGAGATAAGATATTAATATAGCTAACCCTGTTACAGAGCTGTTCAGGCCCAGGGCTGCCAAATGCTAAGCTGGATCAAGGTCCTGAGCTGGCTCTAAGCTTTCTGAGTCCAGATGACGGAATGGAGGTTGACCATGTCAAGCAGGGAGATAATGCCGAACAGAAAATCCAGGAAGAGACTCAATAGTTTCTTTCCTGCCCATACCATAACACATGTACGTGAGGATCAGATAAGAGTCGTGAGTACCACTATCCCCCACCCAGTATTTGGTATCCCTCTTTATGTATGAGCCAGGTGAAGGGATTGTGTGGTTCATTGCTGTGTATGATAAGCTCACAGACCCGTTTTTGTTGGTTTGTTTGTTTGTTTTTGGTTTTGTTTCTGAAAGCTTTGAAATGCCCATGAAGCCAAATGTTCCCGATTTAACTTGGTAAGCTCCTAGGTGGTGATATTTTGTGTAAATAAGTTGTTTTTCAGCCTGTGTCTTGTGGCTTGGGATGGACAGGTAATGGTTGCTTATAGACAGGAACAAGATGCAGAACCATTCTGCCTCAGCACCTGCACTCACAACAGGGTGCATTGCTGGGTTGGGTGTGGTCGTATGTTTGTGCAGTCGAGGCCAGAGCATAAGCTCAGGTGTTGTTCATTGGGAGGCATCACTTTGTCTTTATTTTTAATCTATTTATAGTCTCATTCCTCACGCGGAAGTCGCAGCTCAGGTGGACCTAGTTCCAGGGAGTAACAACAAATTCCATTTTTCCCCATTCAAGCTTTAAGTTGCTTTCCCGCTACATGTAACAAACAAACAAATGAACAGAAAGAAAGATACTGCAAAGACATTCTCTAACTTCAGAAGAGAACAAAATGGGACGGGAGGGTGTGGAGGTAGATAACCGAGGTGATAACCAAGGTGACCTCTGTGGGCCCTCCAGCTGTCACAAGTGAAAATTCCACAACACCTGGATTTCTTTTTTACTTTAAAATCAAGCCATGGAAACATACCCAGGAAAGGCAAAGAGAGCTTTGTCAGGTCTGTGGGCAGTCGGAAGCCACTGAGGGTATCGGACTGGCAATGGGGTGGCCAGGGCAGTGTTGGTTAGAGGCGCCACATTTTGCTGAGGCTTTAGTGTGGCAAAGTCATCGGGCTTGAGCTTGTGTGGGAGTTTGGGGTAACAAGGTCCCATCCTCACCCTCCTTCAGTATTGCCTTATAACTGTTCCGGGAAGCCCGTCTGTTATTTTGAAGATGCCAAGTTATCACTGTTCAATGGCTAGAGGCACATGTTTCCAGAAGTGAGGGCAGGACGTAAGTCTGGAGTAAGGGCCCCCCGAAGAGAGACATTCCAATGTCAAGGATCCTTAGGGAGTGTCCCCTCAAAGCCCAGATTTTTGCCCGTGACAAAGAAATAGGCAGAGGCGCACTCCCATGAGAAGTTGGAGGGACAGAGTGCTTCTGCGGAGCCCAGGGGAGCATCAGGGACTCCTGTCCCCAGCAACAGAAGCTCCGAGAGCGCAGACTTAATGTGTTTCCTCATGAAGGACACAAGCGTCAACACCACATCCGCCTTTCCTGTTTTCTATAATGTGTTTCCCTTTTGTATCCCAAGTACAATTTTATGAACATTTCCCCTGTGGTCTTCCCTCTGCTCAGGAAGTTGAGGGAGGCGGGCTGGGGGCTCGGGAAAGGGATGAGAACCACAGAGCTTAGCTGTGCTTGGAAGAGCAGGAGGTCAACTGCAGACCAGGGCAAGAAGCTAGCAAGGCGCTGGCCCGACCCCAGGCTCCGGAGGCCATGTCATTATTTCTGGTGGCTGTGGCTAGTTCTGACTTTGGAAGGCTGAGGAGGTTGGAGTTCCCCACCTTAGCCTGTCTCTGATGATGGGCAGGCCCGGCCCAGTTCAGGCAGCTTATGGGGATGGGAGGCAAGGCACGAGGAGGTTGGCAGTGTGACACGGACCAGGGGCCCATGGAAAACAGGGCAGTTGGTGGCAGGGCTCACGGCTGTAGCCTAGGAAATGGATGCCACCTGGGAACATTTTACAGGCACCGTCTCAGCCCTGGGGCCACGCTGGGAGTGGAAGCGGCGTGGTGACAGATAAAGCCCTTCTGGGAAAATGGGGAGTGGGGCACCGAAGGACAAATTTGGACAGCTGTCTAGCTCTCTGGTTCTCAGGCTCCGAGTATTTGGGAGACTTTTTTGGACAGTGTTAACACATTCTGTGGCTCCGTGTGGTCTGGCCTGCCTGTGGCTGGCCTCTCTTCCTGTTCCGTAGCAGGCCCCCTGATTTTTCCTGATGGCCCCTCCAGACCAGCTTGGAAACTCTTTGAGGGCCAGTGTTCCTTGGGCTGCACCGTCTGATGGCTTCAGACGTCTTGCTTTTCTAAAGGAGTGTGTTAGATCTTTTTTTCTGTGGTCATTTTCTCTGTGTTCCCGTCTCTCGTTGGAATGGTCAGAGGGGAGAGGGGGAGGCTGGGAATGGAAACAGCACCTGGCAGCCCTCCTGAATAGGGGGCATTGGCCCTTCACCCTGGGCCTCCGCCTCTGGCTGGCCTCACACGAGCCGCTCACATTCCAAACTGGAGGGCTGGTTTGTTTTCTTAAGAAAGTAATAACTGTGCACATTCACTGTGGTTCTTATGGCTTTCCATATGTATAATCGCTCTTTCTCCTTCAGTTTTTTCAATTTTTTTATACTTTCAAATAAATGCTCATAAATTTTATGGGTGAAAAGGACGAAAAAACATACCTAAAAAGAACAGCTTGTTGGAAAAAGGAAGAAGCAGGGAGGGGAAGATGTAGAAAAATTAAGGTTCTGTTCAGCTTTACAAATTCAAGAAAATGGGAGGGATGTTTCAGGCTTACGAAAAAGAGAAATCTTAAAATCATTTTTCTGGCCCCAGAGCATCTGAGTCTTAAGCTCTTGGTCAATGCACTTAAAACCTGAGCTTACTGGGACCTGGTGGTGGTCCCTCAGGCCTAAAACCAGCCGAGACTACACGATCTCCTGGAGTTAGTGGTCTCTCGGCCACGAGGGTCTCGTGAGCCTTTTGCAAATCTCACAACGCGGAAGCCCCGGTCTCTGTAACTTCAGGATGAAGGGGGCTGGCTAGGACATCTGGGAACTTCTATGAGTTTTCAGTTAACGAGAACAAGAAACTGGTTCTGAGGCCCTTCCCACGCTCCCGTCCCCCATGGATGCTGTCACAGACTCCATTGGGTGTCTTTGCAATATCCGTTCTTCCTTCCTTCCTCCTTATCGGACTCTGCTTTTATTTGAAGCAGGGATGTGACCAGCTGCAGAGAGAGTTCCCAGCCTCCCTTGTAGCTTGGGTGGCGCCACATGGCACTGTTCCAAGCCATAAGATAGGAATGTAAACCCACAGACTCAGTAGCTCCCACTTTCACCCCCTGCTCTTCCTGCCTAGAATTCAGTTCCATGTGAGGGGTAATGGCACCATCTAGAAAACGGAGGTCAAAATTCAACCATTCTCCCCACAAAGCCACTGACAGTGGTCTCACAAGACGAAATGGAGCTGGAAGTTTCCAGTCACCTAATGTCAATCACTGTGGCCACCGTAAAGTCTGGAATGCAACGCATCACTCATGCGTTTGGGGGGACATTGGCACAAGCAGATGTCCAAATATAGTGCAGACTGTTACATATGCCACGTAATACTTGAGTGAACACCTGTGTTCCCGGTTCCTATGTGGACTAGCCCAGGTTTTTTTTTTTTTAACTTTTTTTTAAAGATTTATTTATTTATTTATTTTTTAGAAGAGGGCATCAGATCTCATTACAGATGGTTGTGAGCCACCATATGGATGCTGGGAATTGAACTCAGGACCTCCAAAAGAGCAGCTAGTGTTCTTAACCTCGGACCATCTCTCCAGCCCATAGCCCAGGTTTTTTATTGTCATTTTAGAATGTGCTTGTGGTGGCTGGAATGAGAAATGTCCTCAGTGGGCTCATTTATTTGAACATGTGGTCACCTCGTTGGTGGTGGTTTAGGAAGGCTGTAGGACCTTGGGGAGATCGAGGCTTGCTAGAGGACCCTCATCACTGGGGGTAGGCTCTAAGAAGCTCTCCCCACTTCCAGGTCTCTCTCTGCTTTGTGTTTCAGTTGAAGATATGATCACTTGGCCTCCTGCTCCAGCCCCCCACCCCCACCCCACCCCCACCCCCCCACCCCCCCACCCGCCCCCCTTCCATGCCTCACCTCCATTCTAGACTCTCCCTCTGGAACCATGAGCTCAGAAAACTCTTCTGTAAGTTGCCTTTAGTTGTGACATTTTATCACAGCAACAAGATGGCTAATACAGTTTGGTTTTTCAAGACAGGGTTTCTCCATGTAGTTTTGGTGCCTGTCCTGGATCTCGCTCTGTAGACCAGACTGGCCTCGAACTCACAGAGATCTGCCTGGCTCTGCCTCCCGAGTGCTGGGACTAAAGGCATGCATCAACGCCACCCGGCTCTGTTTCTTAATTAAAGAAAAAAAAAAAAAAACTCAAGTATAGCAGTGGTCAGGTTACTCCAGAGACAACCATATATATCTTGGGGTTTGCGGGGGTGTTGGTTTTCTGGAAGTGCTGGGGATTGGACCTGGGGCCTTGAACATGCCAAGCAAACTATCACTGAACAGCATCCCAAGATAACATCTTATGTT